AAAAGATCTGAATAAAGCATTAAGCCCTGTAGTCCCAAATGCTAAGAGTAGCTGTGTACTACATGCTACTGCATTGCTAGTGCTGCCTGCTATACTTTAACATCAGCTGATTTTTCTGAAGTCACTGTGTCACTAATATCCTTTAAGACTCAATCAAGACTTAAATTGAATTAGTTCTGCTTGAATTAAACAGAATTCACCAGGACAGGTGGGAAAAGTCTTTTTTCCATTGACCTGAATGCTATGGTGCATTGCAGGCTGTATCTGTAGGCTGCATTCACATTCTAGAATTTGATCATGTCCAAATTTCAGACGGAGAGAAGGAGTCTTATTGGAAGAAATATCCAAACCGAGAATCCACAAATGTTGAACCGTACCATTATTTGTTAGGGAATGGCTCCACAAACCTGCAATATTAATCTTATTGTTTAAAGTCCTTTCAACTGACAACAATCGCATCTTCGGCCTTGAATAATGGCACCACTTTCTGAAGCAATTGTGAGGAAACGACTTCACTTTTGTTTATTTATGTCGACAGAGGAGATCTTGAAGTTTGTGCCTCTTTTTAATGTGGATACGCCCAGTAAAGCAAAACCCATCTTTCTGATCTGTCCTCCAGCTCAATAAAGAAATAAAATAATTCTAGTAACACAATTGTAATTTTCATCAAACCAGGTTCTGATACCACTTGCATGTATCTGAGTGCTTAACATTTTATGATATTCTATGACTCATCCCATCCCAGTTTCTCCATTGAAATTCCATGATATCTTCAATTTTGCCTCCAAGTGCTTTCAATCCATAATATAGAACACATTTGATTAAGACCCTATATACGGGACTGCAAACAAATCTGGACACTAACTTGTTTAACGCACTGATGGTCAGCTTTGGGTAGCCCTTCACCTCCTGTCCACTGGCATTCCGCCGCCTCTGATGCCTTCTTTGCTGATTTGTTTATATATTTATTAATTCGTTTAAGCTCACCCACCAATCCAATTTTCGTTGACATTTCTTGCGGAGAAGCACAGAATGACCTTTGCAAATGGAACACATCCTGCCAGAGACGTGAGGCCGGTCTCGCACTCACTGCATTAAAAAAAACAACTCTTTTCTTTTAACACTCTTATGAAATACGCTTTTGTTTTGTTTTTTTGTCTGCGAAAACATTATGAAAATACATACAGCAAAGAGCATATTATCTCTAGTAACTTTTTCAACAAAAAATCTGTGAATACCTCTCACTGCCAAGGGCTATCAAGGCCTTACCGTGAAGGATGAAACATTTATAAGGTGCAGTTTTTTTTTCTTTTTTTCTGTGATCTCGAAAATATTTTGTGGCTTATTCTGTGACTTTGCTACCGGCGTTGAATACAGTGCTTTTGTTATGTTCTTGGGCAAGACACATTACCTCTCTGAAAGCAAAGAGTGCTACCATTGATCGTGACCGTTTGTCTGTTTGTGTCATCATGCAGCCACTTTTTCTACCTTTTACCGTGAACAACATTTACGACTTGTGAAGAATTTTCTGAATTTTGGAGGAATAATTTAGATGAGATAATTTGTCATAATTTGTTTATCTGTTCTCCTGTAGTGTGTGGTGTCTTTTAAAGGCAAGGCAGACTTGGGGTGGACATTAATATTTAGCCAATAACAATTTAAAAACACCACTTTTTATACATACTACATTGCAAATATATTTATTTATTTATTTTACTGGCACATCAAATGCATATATACTGAGCAGGGACTGGCCTCCTGCTGGTGCCCAGAGTCAGAACTAAACAAGGGGAGTCAGCGTTTCAGGTTCATGCAGCTAAAACCTGGAACAGTCTTCCTGAACATGTGAGACAGACTCTTCTGTGACGCTGTTTAAATCCAGGCTCAAAACATTTCTGTTTAACTGTGCATATAACTGAAAGGTTTTCATTCCGCACTCTTCTCTCCAATTTATGTCTCTCTTTTTTAAATTTTAATCTTCATGATTATTTATGTTTTGATTTGTTTTTATTATAATTTTAATGTATTTCTTACTTCTTTCAATTACTTTGTGTACGAATTGTGCTATACAAATAAACTTGCCTTGCCTTGCCTTGCTAGTAAACAGTATATGGAGTCAAATTACAGAGACCTAGACCTTCATAGTCTATAAATATTTGTATATTGGACTGTATTTGACACCCTCTTTGGACAAACAGGGCTATTTGTGGTCTATTTGTTTCTTCACAAATTTGCCCTATTCCTACACCTTATTTATCCAGCTGAGCCTTCAGTACTATTGTTGTTGATATAATAATTATTATTTTGCATCTAGAAACCATATGAATGACATGTGACAGCACATGTGTAATCCACTACACAAAATGTACCTTCATGAAGATCACAAAGAGATACTAACAACAACAGTGCACTGGTCAGACAAGTGCACTTATAATACAGCCTCACAGAAATGTCCTGCCTGAAGTGGAGTATGTCCAGAACACACACATTCCTCCACAATAGTAACCGGTACCAGATGACCCATGGCCTGGTACTGAACCGCGGCCCGGGGGGTTGGGATCGCTGTAGTAAAGGACACTCCCACTACACATGGGAAGAGCTAATTATGCTTTTGACACACCATGATTTTAGATTTTATTGGTCACACTGCTTTCCTTGATTGCCCTAACTGCACGCCACTGATGTTCTAGTCTTTGAACATTTGTAATTTTTGAGATGTTGAGTTATGATGATGTCATAGTCTTAGCTACTTCAGGGTACAACAGAATTCATTCACTATTTTGTTATATTTTAATCTGTTATGTGGCCTTGAATAAATCTTTTCCTCTTAGAGATGCTTTTCAGACATAAATTATCAATGTATTTTATTATTATAAGTCTAGGCCTAAAACTTGCTTCAACATATGATTTTCTTTGAAAACGGGGGTATGCACAATGATATAATTTAGTGTGGAACAGTGTGTGTCCCCTGGTATGTTTTACACTCCTCAGGAGGGTCAGACAAAATCTGTGTTTTTGTGAACTCTGAACGGATCTAAACAACCGTGATCATGTCCCACCTAACAGCTGCATAGGCACAAAACATCTTCACTAAAGATCATGTTCCATAAATGTTAAGTTGTATTTTTTGTTTTAACCTTCTGTTTTGTCTATTTTAAGCCTTACTGTCTATCCTTGTCTATTTTTGTCTGTGATTTGACGTAAGTGTGCATCATTTCTGTTGTGTGTTGCCTAATTAGTGGCTGTTTGCCCTCCCCGTCCTGCCTCTGTGAGTGTAATGTATTCTTCAGGCGCCTCGTACACAGCCCCTCTGGGACTCCATCTCTTTCTGTAGAGGCTTCAAATTCCGAGCTGCATTTTTACATCTCTATGCCCTACACTGGAGCTCCTCTGATAACAGAGCCATTCCGACTGACACACTTTTGCGAGGTGACGATGTTTAACCGCTCTGCATGTACGTGTGAGCGAACGTTCTCTATGTAAATGCCATCTTGTACCACGCGCTGCTTCTTACATGCGTGTGATTCCGTCTCAATGTGACACTTGTGTGGAACATCACAGAAGGAAGTGAGAGCGACCTGCCGTATCCTCACCTGCCTGTTGCCATGGTGACACTTGTGCTTACGGGACTGTCGTATATAGGTCTCCCATACAAATTAACCTTCCTGAGATGGAGCTTGTCTATGTGTGGTGGCCCTCATTAGTCTAGAATGCACATTTAAATACCTAGCTATACAAGAATGTTGTTTAATGACATACATCTTTGTTTCCATAGCCTGTCATATGAATTCATGCACTTACTTGTATATATTCATTTATGCCTATCTTTATGTATATTTTATAATACGTTTCCATTTGCATTCACATATAAGGATCTGCCTATTCCCTGGTGCACCGTGATCTCTCTACATTTACAACAGCCATGCAAAGCCATATGTTGTTAAATGTTCATGAGCTCTATAGTATTGTGTTGGCTCTCCTGCCTTATTGAATGCACAGAGTGGATGCTACATGTGCTGCATAAGTGGATTTGATGGCGTGCTTTATGACAAACAGTATGTTAGCTTCTCACAGGGCCCTTCCTCTATAGACGGATGTCTGATGTTCATAGTTAAACCAATTCTCCGCTCTGGTCAGATCACTCGTGTGTCTCTGGCCATCTCATATTGGATTTAGTGGCTTCTTAAGCCTCGGGGGTTCCTTAAGTCAATTGAATTATTTGACTTGGAAGCGGTCAACTTTCTTATATTGAGTTGGCCAGGCCCTCCAGCACTGTCCAGCCAGGCCTGTTTCCCCTGCCTTTGTCAATAGCACTTTGCCTTATTCTCATCTATTAATGCAGGCTTGCACTTGGAGGGTCATTAACTGTGCTGTGTAGATCAGATTATGTAGAAATCTGCTTTATTTTAGTTGTAACAGCTCCCATTCCCTCAGGGTTTGCTACAGTTAATCATTTGTATCCTTCCACGAAGAAACACACTTTCATTTGTTGGGCCTGCTCCGTGCGTCCAGGGATGGGACTAGGATCACCAGTGCATGTTTGACCTGTAGCCAGTGTCTTATTTTTGGGGAAAGTCATTGATTTGTGGAATAATTTAATCCGTAAACAATATCAAAGTATCCTACAGAAACGTGTGCTAATTTCTTAGCTATGTGCATTTGACCAGTCTCCTGTGATTGGTGAGGTCTGCCTGTCAAGCTGAATGTTCTTAATAGTTTTATTTATCTCCGCTTTTTAATGCAAGAATAACAGTGTACAGGGGTTCCTTTTGAATTATAACTCAAGAAAACTAGCTCATGAATTTGATCACACAACGTGGCTGTATGGTTACGCTCTCCTGACGAGTGACCTACACACTGATTTGCTAATTGATCTTCCGAGACTAAATAACATCAATATATAGCACAGAAACAGGACTGGAGCAGCATCAAACAAGACACACTCCCAAACCTTATCATTAAACATCATTTAACTGTATTTTTCTGTTCTTTTTTCACAGCAACTTGTCAAAGAATCCTCTGAGCACCCTGTCATGGCAGCTCTTCCAGCACCTTCAACTCTCCGAGCTGTAAGTAGCCTCTCATCTCTCTCTCTCACTTTCTCTTTGTTTGCATTTTATTAGAGCAATTTATCATGAGTCCCTCCGCTCCGTCTGGCTCAATACAAATAGTCCTTACCGCGCGCCATTAGAATTCCTGTGTCTGTGGTACAAAACCCCTAATTTGTCTGGGCGTGTGTGAAAGAGTAGACCTATAGGCAGAAGGGACGCTGTGATCTTAGGAGTCATTTGTTGTCATAATTAGCACTCGCAGAGGGAGTTTGGGCGACATGAGAGAGGCTGACCCCATTTTGTGCTTGTGTTATGAATATTTTAGTGATCATTGTGTTTATGGAATGGATTTGCGGTTATGTCGCCAGGGACAGCAGTCAGTACCTCTCTGTAATTTACACATCATTGGGAATGCATGTACATAATCTAAGGTAATTCCATGGATAACAGTCTTGCATTGCAGTTTTATTAGTTTCATGTGAAGATACAGCCGTCCCCAGATATGCACTGTCCGCTGCTACCCAAACAAAAAGCCCTGGATCACCAGCCAGCTGAAGGATCTGCTCAATAAGAAGAAGTGGGTCTTCAGCTCTGGTGACAAGGACGAGGTGACGAGGGTGCAATGGCAACTGAAGGTCCAGCTCAGGCAGGGCCAGGAGACCTGAGGAAGGAAACTCCAATAGAATAAAACCAGGGAAGTGTAGCAGGGGATGAAGGCCATTACAGGTTTCAACACCAAAACAAAGCAGCAGGACAATAACCCAGAAAGGTCAAACCTACTCAATTTGCATTTTAATCAATTTCTCATCCCCTGGCACCCCTGTTTCTACACCTCCCAGACGCCCAATCCACACCTCACCAAAGACCACTCAGACAGCCATTCATCAACCCATCACGTATGCTCCCACACCTACCCCCACGGAGGAAGCCAGCCCAGTGCCACCTGTGCAGGTGAGAAGGCAGCTGGAGAAAGTTCCCCAAAACAAGTCTCCTGGACAAGACCAAGACCTTTCTCTTCACACTGAGTCTGAAGCTTGAAAGGATACCGGTGCTATGGAAGACCTTTTGCATTGTGCCAGTGCCATTTCTGCATTTCTGTAGCGAGACGGCGTTAAGAGCTTTGGAAGGATAGTGTTTTTGTTTTGTTTTTGTTTTTTAATTTCTCCAGTGCCTTTAATTCAATCCAGCCCTTTCTGATGAGTGAGAAGCTGCTCAGGATGGGTGTCAGCTCCAGCATTGTCTCCTGGATTACTGACTATCCTGTCACGCTGGCCTGAATACGTGTGACTGGGGACCATCCTGTCTGATACTGTGGTCAGTAATGTAGGAGCCCCTAATGGTACAGTCCTGTCTTTGTTTCTGTTCATTCTGTACACATCTTATTTCCAATACAGCTCCAGTTCCTACCATCTACAGAAGTTCTCTGATGACTCTGCAGTGGTTAGGTGTATCAGAGATGGACAGGAGCTGGAGTACATGACACTGAGTGCATATTTCGTGGAGTAGTCCAAGGGACTGGTGATTGGCTTCAGGAGAAATAGAACACCAGTGGAGCCCACCACCATCCAGGGCCATGACATGGAAATAGTGGACTACATGTACCTTGGCTTTTATGTGAACAACAGGCTGAACTGGAGGGACAACTGTGATGCTGTGAACAAGAAGAGCACGAGGAGACTCTACTACCTGGGAAAGTTCAGGTCTTTCAATGTGTTCAGCAAGTTACTGGAGATCTTTTGTGGTGTCCAGCTCCCTGTACTTCGCTGTGGTCTGCGGGGGGAGCAACACCAGTAAAAGGGGCATTGGTCACATGATCAGCTGTGAGCTGGAGGTATTTGTCACAGTGAGGGACAGGAGGACACTGGACAAACTGCTGTCTGTCATGAACACTCCTGCTCACTCACTGCACCAGACTATAGAGGGACAGACGAGCTCATTCTCCAACAGGCTCCTACAGCTCCGCTCAAACAGTGAGAGATACAGAACTACATTCATACCATACTCCATACAACTGTACAACAACTCACCCTTATTTAACAGATAAGACTCCCTACACTCCCTCTTGTGTACAGCTGAGATTTTTCAAAGTTTAGTCTAAGTTTAAGTGGATACTCTTTCATGTTTTTTATTTGTTTACAAAATTTCAAAATGCAAAAAATGGCGCACTGTTTACACGGAAGGAATATGTTTATTTGGGTTTTTTGTTGTTTTTAGATGTTAATTTAACAAAATCAAAACTGAAATATTGCATTTATCAAATTAGAACTATTGAGTGAGTTCAGTCTGCTTTTCCAAAATTGTCTGTAACAAATTGCGTGTTAACATATAAGCTAGTGATATTTTGCCATGACATCGTGCTGGGGGTGTTCAACATGTATGTGTTGCTGATTAATTGACATTTGGGTATCGGTGATCTTTAACATTGTTTTTCAAAATACTTTCGGTATCAATCATCACACTTCCAAATGTATTGCTGCAGGCCTACTGAAAGAAACAATAGACATCATATCAAAATGAATGAAATGGGAGATTTTACTGTTAATATAAATTTTCATATCATTGCTACAAGGTTAAGGTAACATGATTGTACAGGGAAATGTGTGCTTTGCATTTGACCTGTTTTTCAATGCTGTCAGGGTAACCTGTCTTAGTCAGGGGGCAGTGCAGTGCCTTGGGGCCCTTCTCCTGATCTGGTGTGAGGTTCAAGGACAAGAGGACGTAGCAGCAGGATTAGCCTGTAGTGCATGTTAAGATGATGGGGGAACCAGACCACCAGAAGGAAACCACAGGGAGAATGGGGGTTCTCTAGTCTGGAGATCAAACCTAGGACCTTTTTGTTGTGAGCAGATAGTAATCTGCTTTTTCTTTTTACTTTAAAGTGTACAGGTTTTTGTGTTCTTTCTAAGATAGCTAGTTTAATTAAAGGGCCCCCATACCGTTATTTTCTCTCATCTGTTATAATTCCTCTTCACAAACATGTCTGAAGTTGTGTTTTGTTTCATTCACATGTGTAAAACACAAATGCTTATTTAGTTTTTCTTTCGAACAGTAAACACTCTGTTCTACCTTGTGATGTCATGTGGTAACACAGACAGTGCTCCACTGTGTTTTAAAACTCCATACACCTTCACTACAATCATTTGGATAATTTTAGCCCTGAAATCTCCGATTTCTAGTAAACAAAAGGTAAAAGGTTGCTGTTAACTTGAAAACTATTGCTTCATGACATCACAACGTGGAACAAAGCATTTCGAGATTTGGAGCTGTAGACAGACTAATAATAAAGGGTCACTCAAACATGTGTGAATGAAACAAACTCCAGATATGTTTTTGAAGAGGTGACAACATTCTAACATGGCTTAATGCTCACATTAAAAGCTCAATTTTGTTTTATATAGGACCTTTAAGGGTGTATATTAAGAAAAATATTTGAGATTTTCACAATTTTAAAGATTTTAATGCTGTATCCTGATTTAAACCCATACCACAAATGCCTGTGTTGTGATCAGAATAATTAAATATGGTCATGAGTATCTTTATAAAGAATATCCCTGTCATCTTTTCTGAAATGCCTAATTAGCTTCAACACGCTCCAAACACAGTTTTTCACCAACTTTTTTTCTCCTTGTCCTGAGATCTGAGATTCAAATTCAAATTAGATATTTTTTGTCATAAAAATGCAAAATAGCCATTGTTGTGTAATTTACAAACAATTATACTTGGTTTCTTCATCTTACACTGTCCCCAAACTTTCATAATTGGGTTTGTAGATGTGAGGGCCAGTTGGGGTGACATATTTGCAGCAGGCCTCCTTATTGTGCTATTTTCAGAGGTAGAATCAGAGCAGGTCTAAGGAGAGAGCCACAATGTTGTCTTGTCTTGGCCAGTGTCTCTAAAAAGGGGGTGAAAAGTAACTGAATACTCGAGTTACTGTAAGTACTTTTTTGGGTAATTGTGCTTTTTTGAGTAGAGTTCTAAACCGATACTTGTACATGTATAATTCTAGCAAATTTTTATTAGTTGCCCCAACTGACTGTCCCAATCTGCGGCTGTTTCACTGCTGCCTCTGCTCCCTTCGACAAACACACAAAGCTGCACTGCCTATAATGATTAACCGGAGCTCAGAGAAGATGCAGACAACACAGTCATATGCAACAACACAATTCAGTTTTACACTGATTGGACAAATTTTGTATGAAAACATTATCTAAAATGCTTCTGAAAGTACTAGTACTTTAAATAGTGTATTTCACTATTGTATTTTTTGCTTTAATTTAAAGGCACAGTACTTTGTAACATGAAAAACTGGTTCATTTAAATCAGGGGTCTCAGACTCGCGGCCCGGGGGCCAACTGCGGCCCTCGGAAGGATTTTTTGCGGCCCTCCACTTAATTCCAAAGAATAATGTCAGTGATTAAGAAAGTGTGTTGCATGTTGTTCTTTCTCTCTCTTTTTTTCCGTGCAACCGCTATTTATCGAATACTCAATGCGGCCCAGCCTCACTCACACTTTATCTAATGTGGCTCCCAGGTAATTTGAGTTTGAGACCCCTGATTTAAATGGTTTGCAGTGGTCCAAAATTATTTGTCACATTTATTCTGAACATCCTACCTTCAGGGACCCAAGAGTGGATTTTTTCCCATCACTCTATGTTATCAGTAACTAGCATTCTAACAGTGCACTTTCTAATTATCGGACAGTAAAACTTTATTACTAGATGCAGACATGATCTTATTTTGGCTTCCTGCTGCTTATATAGTATATATTTTCTGGGCTGAAATACATGGACCTTTAAGGACAAATTTGACAGCAGGACTTGTTTTTGAGTACAGTGGGCCTCATTCATGAATATTTTCTTACATTTTTTCATAACTTCCATTTTAAGAAAATGCTGAGAACTCCACACCAAATTCACAAAATGTTCTTAAGCTCACAAATTCCTTCTTAACTTACAGCTACGAACCAACACCCAGCTATGAACACCTCCACACTCATTTACATTTTATTTACATAGAAAA